TTTGGTGACAAATGAGGTCTTTTCCTGGTCCTCCGGGTTTATCTGGATTTGATTATACTCGGAATAGGCATCGAGAAAAGTGAGGATCTCGTGGCCGGCCGTGCCATCGATCATGCGATCGATGTTGGGCAGCGGAAAGGAATATTTAGGGCATGCTTTTTTCAAATCCTTATAATCTACACACATTCTAAGTTTGTTCCTTTTTTTAGGTACTACAACTACGTTGGCTAACCATTCGGGATATTTCACCACCCAAATGGACCCTATTTTGAGAAGTTTGGTTACCTCGTCCTTTATGAATGCGTGCTTTCCCTCGGACTGGGGTCTTCTCTTTTGCTTCACAGGTCTGAACCTAGGGTCCAAGCTTAGCTGATGCGTCATTATGTCCGGTGGGATCCCTGTTATATCTAAGTGGGATCAGGCAAAACAATCAATATTATCGATAAGAAATTGAACAAGTTTCTTCCTGAGTTCGGGGCTCAACCCCGTTCCCAAGTATACCTTTCGCTCGGGCCAGTGCTCGATTAGTGTGATTTGCTCTAGTTCTTCAATTGTTGATTTGGTGGCATTGGAGTCATCGGGAATCATGAAAGATCGAGAGACCCTTTGACCATTATCTTCTTTGATCTTCTGGTTATCTGGCTGGGTCGAAGCCGACATCTATGATGGTTATTTGGTGTCCCGCTGTCCTTCTGAGCCCGATCCATTTATCGGCAAAGGCGAGGATATTAATTTCGCTTCCTCGACGGCGAATATTTCTTTTGCGGTCGGTTGTTCTCCGTACACTGTTTTGACACCTCTCGATGTCGGGAATTTGAGGACCTAGTGTAGGGTCGAAGGTACAGCTCTCATGTTGTGGATCCCTGGCCTTCCGAAAAGGGCGTTGTACCTCATGTCGCCTTCGATCACATGAAACTTTGTGTCCTGGATGGTTTCGGCCACGTTTATTGGTAAGATTATCTCACCTTTGGGGGTTTCACATGCCATATTGAATCCGTTTAGAACTAGAGTTGCGGGTACGATCTGGTCCTGTAGGCCGAGCTGTTCTACGACCTTCAATCTGATAATGTTGGCTGAACTACCTGGATCGATTAACACACGCTTAATTTTAATTTTATTCATGAGTACTGATATTACTAGTGCATCGTTATGAGGTTGGATGACTCCTTCTGCATCTTTATCATCGAAGGACAAAGTCCCCGTGGGTGTGTAAGAGTCCGAGATCGCTTTTCCCTCACAATCGATGTTTTAGTGCATTTAAGCATTGGTCCCTGAGGGGTATCGGCGCCGCCGATGATTATGTGAATGACGTGTTGCGGTTCTTCTTGCTCGTTTTGCTTGCCAAAATCCCTGTTTTTAAAATGATTTTTCGACCTATCACTCAGAAATTCCCGAAGGTGCCCTTTGTTAAATAAGCGGGCTACTTCCTCTCTTAGTTGCCTGCAATCTTCCGTTCTGTGACCATGGGTGCCAAGATATTCGCACATTTGATTGAGATTCCTTTGGGCAGGATCGGTCTGCATGGGTCGAGGCCACTTGGTGTCTTTAATGCGTCTGATAGCCGACACATGGCGGATGCACCAACGCTGAAGTTATACTCTGATAACTGAGGTGCTTCTATAGGATCGACATATTTATCAAAGCCGCTCTTGCTCATAAGTCCCCGAGAATTTTGCCCTCGATCAATCCTTCGATTGTTCCGAACTGTATTGCATGTTGGACTGTTGTTCATCCGATCTGTGATGTATAGTTGATATCGGTTTCTGTTCGACCTTTGTTCTCTGTCAATCTCCCTTTGGTTTTTAGTAGTTGTCCTGTTCTAATGCACTGGTCCATACGGAGCTCCCAACTGGTCATCTTCGACCCTAATTTTCGATTGATATCGATTGTGTATATCTGCCCAAGTTATTGCTGGATACTCAATCAAATTTTGCTTCAGCCGACGTGACGCTGTCGAACTCAGCTCGTTCAACCCTTGGGTGAAAGCTTGTACGGCCCAATCGTCTGTGATCGGTGGCAATTCTATGCGTTCCATTTGAAATCGGGATACGAATTCTCTCAGCATTTCATTACCTCTTTGTTTTACTTTGAAGAGGTCTGATTTCCTTATTGCAACCTTTATGGCACCAGCATGTGCCTTTATGAACGAATCTGCTAACATGGCAAAAGAATCGATGGAATTAGGCGGTAAATTGTGATACCAGATCATTGCTCCTTTCGATAGGGTCTCCCCGAACATTTTCAACAACACGGATTCGATCACATCGTCCTCCAAATCGTTACCTTTGATGGCACATATGTAAGAGGTGACGTGTTCGTTAGGATCGGTCGTACCGTTATATTTGAAAATTTCGGGCATACGGAATTTTTTGGGGATTGGTTTTGGGGCCGCACTCGAGGGAAAAGGCTTTTGTATGAATATTTTCGAATCCAACCCTTTTATCATTGGTGGAGCCCTGGGGATTTGATCGACCCTAGCATTGTATGTGTTCCACTCTCTTGTCGTTGGCTTCGACTCATTTTGTGAGTTCTTCGAGCAATTTAGTAATTTCGGGAGTGGTCCCCGATTCTTGCTCGTTTGATTTCACTATGGCGGGCTCCGTTCTGGGGGTGATTTCTCGAAGCGGATTGGAATCCGGCCTGCTTTGTATATAAGTTTGGCTCTGTAACTGGGCTATTTCTACTTGTTGGGCTTGTAGCATCTCGAAGATCATACGTAAGCCGGCTCCGATTTCCCCCGTGTTATGGGTATCTCGGGCTACGGATCGAGTACCGCCCTGAGTGTTTTTTTCGGTTCGGAACGCTGATTCACCTCCAGAGCTATTCGTGAATTGACATCCAATGGTACTTCGGCTCGAATTTCGGGTACTTCAATTCGAGCCTCAGTGTCATCGTCAAGTGGCATTCCGCCCCCGGCTGCCAAGTTGTTGGTTTCATCTTGAAGGTCGGCTTCGCGATCGATATGTAAAGTCATTGCTGATTTGAAGTTGTAAACTGGTGTATACTGTAGATTTATGTCAAACAATCACTGTTATCCTTAGCCCTACGGTGGGCGCCAAACTGTTTACCCGAAAAATCGGATAACGTTAAATTTATGTATGATTTTAAGGATACGTGATACCCTTTGATACAAAATCCTATACGAATATTCTTGACTATGACAGTGGGAATAATGAATAAGAAAGAACGAATAAAACGAAGTAAAATAAGCACAAGGAGGTCTCTTTTTTTCCAGTGTATTCAATGTGTCCATAGTTTACAAGGATCCCCTTTTATAGTAGAGGGTCATTACAAAAAATAATAAAATAAATCATATAGTGGAGGACCCATCATGATTTGTCTCTTTCTCGATTCCCGCCAAGATTCTCTTTCTTGGTGCGGTTACAACGGCTCTTGTCTGTGAGCTCGATACTGGCTCGAACTCATTACTGGGTCGAGCCCTTCGGTCTTGGCTCGAGTTCGACCTTCGGGATGGGCGTCGCGCATTTCCGACCTCGAAGCAATGCCTTGCGGATCGATTCGGTCACGGGCTCGATAAGGTTATCGAGCCGACTCCTCGAGCAGCCTTCGGACTCGAGGCTCGTTAGTACTGTCTTCGGAGCTCACTCCCAAAATCCCACTCCGACTTCTTACCACTTGAACTCAATCGAACGTAGGAAGGCCGAAATCTATTTCGACCGTATACAATACTTCCATCATTCACAAGGTTAAACTGATGCAACAGAAGCCAACAAAGCCATCGAAACAAAGATATATTAGATCAATTGATGATTTGAGTTTCTTCTTTGATTTTTTTTTTGCGCGCATACACAGCACTCCACACGCTGAACTCATGTTTAACTGATATAAGACTTGTAAAAACTAATTAAGTTCACATAGACTGGTAGCAAAACTGGTTGCATAAATGAGTCACAATCTAGGCAAAGTAATATACAATTAATTACCAAGATAGGTCGAATGAAGGTAACACCAAGTTTTGTCAGTCTGATAAAACTTATGTACAATTGAACAACACGTATAAAATTTAAATATTCAGTAAAACATGTAAACGATTTAACTAGATAGGTAGATTGAAGATAGTCCTAAGTTGTGAGCGTACGACAAAGCTCGTGAACTATTGACAAATTATTAAATTTTTCCCGTCCGGTAAACTTGTGACCAATTCAATAATACGAAGTTTTGGCTGCCCAACAAAATTTAAGAACAATTAAACAAGCGTTACATTTTCATTCTTCCAGCTAGGAGTGGCAAACGGGCGGAGCGGGGCGGATATGATTTGGGTCGAAAACGGGTAATAAAAAGGATAAATTATCCGATTCGACCCATATTTAATACGGATATAAAACGGGTTAACCGGGTAATAAAATGGTTACCCATATTATCCATAACTTCTTGCACATGATCACTTTTGGGAGAATTCTTAGTCTCCCTAACTGGAGGAACCCCCAATTTGAGGCTTTACAAATGTAAAAGTTAGACCCATTGGTTGTCCATTGGTTATCCATTTTCTAGATAGATAATATGGTTCTTATCCATATTTGACTCGTTTTTAAAAAATTCATTATCCAACCCATTTTTTAGTGGATAATATAGGTAGTTAACTATTTTTTTAACCATTTTGTCACCCCTACTTCCAGCTATATAACACAAAGGCTATTTTGTAAGGGGACAATATATAAACAGTGGCCTCAAATCATCCTATCAAGAAGCAACTATAAAAAAGGAAAATAATATTGTATAATCCCTCTCAAAATAATAGGCAAAAAATATATATAATTATTATGTATATATATATATATATACACATACTGTATGTTATTTACAAATTTTATACATTTTTTCGGCTACCGAATGTAAATAGTTTTTGGCTCGGGCTAAAGGTGAAAAAAGACCGACTAAAATTGTCCTGTCGGGTAACTATTCAGGCCCATAAGTTTGGGCCACGGAGGTCCTAACGGTGAGGCTTTAATCGCCCAAAATAAATCTGACTCAATTTGATAATTGATTTCCCTCTTTTTTCTCCGGGGGAAGAAATTGGGACAAAATGGCGGGAAAGCAGGTCGCCGCCGATGGCCTAACAACGAATTTCGCCGGAATGTCCAAAAATCAGCTTTACGACATTATGTGTCAGATGAAGGTATTTATTTATGTGTGTGTGTGCCTGCGTATAGGCGTGATGGATATATATGTCCACATTAGAGATGAAATCAAGTTTAATTCTTTGTTCGCTTTAACAATATTTGACTTTCTCTTGCACGAGCTTCTTGATAAATTTGTGTCAAATTTGTTGCTGCTTTATTAATTTGTTTTTTATGCAGGGATTAATCGAACAGAACCAGCAACAAGCGAGGCAAATTCTCATTCAAAACCCTAACTTGACCAAAGCACTATTTCAGGTTTCACTTATTTTATATTCTAAGTCAACCTTCTAATCTGACTCATTTTGCGGCAAAGCATTGAGTATTGTTATCTTTTTTTTTTCCCTGCTGATGGAATGCTTAAATTAAGGCTTTGAGGTTATCCAATTTATGAAAGTAATAGTCGTACTATAGATGTTATTTTAATTACAAAAGTATGAAATTTTTAGAGATATGATATGTTAAGAGTCGTTAAATAAAAGAACGAGAGTGTTCCTTCTCTAACAGATTAATAGCCTGATTGACCAAGCTTCTCCAATCCTAGAGTATTTGTTTTTTCAAAAAAAGTGCTATTTTTTCAAAGTTGAAGTGTTTGGCCAAGCATTTGGAAGAAAAAAAAAATGATTTTGAGGAGAAGCATAAGCATTTTTGGAGAATCAGAAAAAGTAGCTTCTCTCCAAAAATACTTTTTTGAAAATCACTTTTGAGAAAAATACACTTAGAAGCAGCTTTTAAAAGGTAGGCCAAATACTAATTGTTGCTCAGAAGTTCTTTTCAAATTAATTAGTCAAACACAAATTGCGTCTCACCAAAAGTACTTTTCTCGAAAAAGCACTTCTCAAAATAAGTTTATTTTTGCAGTTTGGCCAAATAGGCTATAAGCCTTTAGACTTTAGATTCTAGTGTTCTTGTTAGAAGTGTAAAATAAAAGAATAAGAGTGTAAGAGAGAGAAATAGAGATGCCATCATATGTTCCCTCAATACATTATACGGCAAAGGGCCAAATATACAGCTGTACTTTCGAAAATGGTCTAAGAATACCCCTCGTTATACTATTGGGCTATATATACCCTTTCCGTCATACTTTGGAACAAATATACCCTTATTTTGGATGGAGTGCCACATGTCAACACCAGATGAAAACGACCCATTTCATTTTTTTACCCGATCCGTTTTAAAAAACCCACCAGCCGACCCGTTTTAAAATTCAGTTTTTTTAAAGCATATATTTTGTAAAAACTGGAATTTTGTTTTGTAAAAACTGGAAAAAAAAAAAGGAATTTGCAAAATATATATTTTTAAGTCTTTTCAGTTTTTTAAAGTATTTTTTTATAAAAACTGAAAAAAAAAGATTTTGCAAAATATTTTCATTTTTTTAAAACTAATGCATATGTAGTCCACTGCTTTAGGAGAGTCTTTTTTTCCAGTTTTTTTAAAAAATATTTTTTTTTTTCAGTTTTTACAAAAAACATACTTTTAAAAACTGAAAAAAATGAAAAATATATATTTTGTAAATTCTTTTTTTTTTTTAGTTTTTACAGAATATATATTTTTCAGTTTTTAAAGCATTTTTAAAAAAAATAATTTGTTTTCAGTTTGTACAAAAAAAAAATACTTTAAAAAAACTGAAAAGACTTAAAAATATATATTTTGCAAATTCCTTTTTTGTTTTTCAGTTTTTACAAAAAACAATTCCAGTTTTTACAAAATATATGGTTTAAAAAAACTGAATTTTAAAACGGGTCGGCTGGTGGGTTTTTAAAAACGGATCGGGTAAAAAAAAAGAAATGGGTCCTTTTCATCTGGTGCTGACACGTGGCACTCCATCCAAAATAAGGATATATTTGTTCCAAAGTATGACGGGAAGGGTATATATAGCCCAATAGTATAACGAGGGGTATTCTTAGACCATTTTCGAAAGTACAGGGGTATATTTGGCCCTTTGCCGCACATTATATATTGGAAATGTGTGATGTGGTTTGAACTGTAAATTCTAGTTTTCTTGTTTTATAGTCACCAATATGTGTGATCACTACTCATAAAGGTTACATTGGAAGAGTACATGGATGTCATTCCAAATCTATTGTCATGTTATGCATGATGAAATCTCTTTGAAATATTCAAATGTCATGATTAATAGGCAGCTGCTATTTTTTCTTACAAAAGGACCAGAAATCACATAGTGCAATATGGATGAGAGTTTAGCCGTTGCAGTCTCTCTGAGAAATCACAGTGCGTTACTTTTGATATGGGTGAAAATTTTAGGGATTTGCTGTAGTCTTTTATTGCGAGTGCATCGCATGATTCCCAGATTAATTAGCTTTAAATCTTTGAGCTAAGAATCATATAAATTTGGAGTTCATTGGTTGATTTCTGATTCTCTGACTTTGGTTCCTTTAATGATGTGTTTATTAGGCACAAATTATGCTTGGGATGGTGCAGGCCCAACAAGCAGTAAGTTAGTTATAGCATCTTGAACATGTGAAGTATCTTTGTCCATATAAATGTATGATGTGATGTAGTTACAGATCTCACTCCATTCTATCTTTAGATTCCGACCATCCAACCGACAGGATCACCAAATCTACAGCCATCAGTGTCTCAACTTACAAAGTCAGATGGTCAGTCGGCTCCATCATTGCCAGGGAAAATTGGTATGCAGGATCAAACAAGAAAACAGCAGCAAAATCAATCTGCTCCAGCACCGCCATCTCCTTCTCTTCCGTCATCAAACCTTCAAGCTCAGTCCCTACCGTCTCATCCGTCGCTGTCAGTGCAGCAGCCAAAAGGACATATTGGTGGTCAATCAGTGCCAATCTCTTTACCACAATCCTCTCAAGTTGTTAACATGCCACCAGTTCCTCATCATTCTGCTTCGCAGCTGCCATCTCATTTTCAAATGCAGATGCCTTCTGCATCCTCCCAATTGGAGCAACCGATGCATACTAGTGGCAGCCAACACCAGCATATGCAGCCACAGATGCCACCACAAGTGAGACCATCAATGCAACCATTCCCCCGTCCAATGCACCCTCACATGGGGTCCAATGTTGGTTTTCCGCCATCTGGAGTACCTCCGCCGCACCATTCACATCCTGCTTTTCATGTAAGCAGAGGATGACTATTCTACCTATACTGATTTGTGGTTTTCCCCTTTTCCATACACAGCATTTAATTTTTTTTCTCATCATTCAGCCAACTATGAAGCCTCCAGCAAGCATGGGGCCTTCTTTTATGTCTGGGCAGCCACCAGTTCCAAGTCAGCTGCCATCCCAGCCGCCATATCAGGTGCCCTGGTCCTTATGCTCCACTTTACTGAAATTAGCATGCTAGTTTTCTTTTGGTGTTTTTGGTCATTTAAGCTTGAATCATTAACTTCTTTCTCTAATAAAAGTTGTATGAGCATAAGGGCCTGCCCTACATTTTAAGTTCCACTGGAAAGCGGCCTTTCTTTCCATGGACGAGTCCTTACCAAAATTTGCTCTATGTTTAAGATTTTTAACTTGTGGGATATCTATGACAAAGTGTAACATGTTGAGGAGCTATTGAAACTAACAAATTGATGAGCTACTTGAAGCGATGTCATGACTATTGTTCATTCATGTGGGAATTTGAAGTTGGATGAGTGCAAAGAGATTATGGCTATCTTGAAAAATAAAAGGATTTAAGAGGTCAAAATATAGCATAAATCATTACATTTAATATGCTGAAGTTGCTAATGTTATGATGAAGAAATTAATGGACGGCTAATTTCTTTCTGTACCGTATTTCACTTACATCCCTAAATCGTTTCTTTTGTCCCTTTTAATCAATAAATACATCCCTCAATCATTTCTTTTTCTTCCTCCATCTAAAATTAAGTATCCTGAGTTAACTCATTATCAAAGTTATATTTCTTTGACATCAACATATATTAAGTTATATTGTATTTTGCAGTTGAAACAATATTCAACATTGCATGTACCGCGCTCTACTGCTTGTCCATCATTAATATAATTGTAAACTTAGGTCAATTTAGTCATCAAAGTCCAATTATATTACTTTAATTGGGTGGATGGAGTACATAATGATTAATATTTAAGTGAAAACTACTTTATCAAAAAAATTAATTATAATTACGCAACACATTTTCCTTTTTATTTTGTCCCAAAATGAATGATACAATTATGTATTTAGAAATAATTTAACTTTACACTTCCGATGTTATCCTTAATGATATGATTTATAGCGATCCAAATGTGTATAGGTTGTTTTAGATCATAATTTTCAAAAGCATTTTGTTCTTTCTCAAACTCTGTATTCACTCAAACACCGTCACATACAATGAGACGGAGGGAGTAATATTTCTATGAGAACCTTGGGATCAATTCGGAGAGAAACTTATACTCAGAAACACACATATATATCAATGTAATTGAGAGACATCTAATACCACTAGGAAATGATTGGTGTTCAGTATAGATTATAATGCCTACTTTTAAAGATCTTTATGCATCTTTGTATGGTAGAAGCTTTAGCTACACTCGTAGAATTATGTCGACAGAAGCAGAGGCCGCCATGAAAAATATGAGGATTAGAAATGCGTGTGAACCAAATGGTATCATTATAGAGGTTTAGTAGTGTTTTGGAGAGGTTGGAGTAGTATGGCTTAACAATCTATTTAATGCTATACTACGAAGTGATAAGATGCCCAAGTATGGACAAAGAGTACGTTGATTGCAGTGTACAAGAGTAAAAGGGATTTTCAATGCGAACTATCATAACATTAAACTTATGAGCCATATGATGAAACTTTAGAAAAGAGTGATAATAGTGTAGACTTAAGGACACTGCAAAAGTGACAAGAACCAATTTGAATTTATACCTTGTAGTTTTATTACATATGCTATGTTTTTGTTAAGAAGATTGATGAAAATTTATCGGGAGAGAAAGAAAGGTCGACATATGGTAAAGTGCCTAGAGAAGCTCATGATAAAGTGCACGGAGAAGTCCTTTGGTGGTTACTGAAGAAGAAAGAACTTAAATTAAATACATACATGCCATAAAGGATAAGTATGGAGGAGTCGTCGCTAGTGTAAGAATAGTTGGAGATACAAAGAAGTTTTCGATAATTGTGTGTTTACACCAGGGATTGGCATTGTTCGTACTCATTTACGAAGTTAGCTATTTGCGGACAATATTTTGCTAATTGACGAAACTAGTGAGGGTGTCAACACAAAGCTTGAACTGTGGAGAAGTACTTTCGACAGCTATGGTTTTTAGGATAAGTGTAAATACGGCTGAATTCATGTGCTGCAATTTAGCTAGCATAAGAAGAATGAAGTTGAGGTTGAATTAGAGGGGGTTTCGGTGCCTAAATGTTGACAATTTAGATGTATAGACTCAATGTTCTAAGAGAATGGTTTGATAGACGATGTTAATACACGTAAAATCAGAACAAGATGGCTAAATTGGAGAAGTGTTATCGAAGTGTTATGTGATAGCATGATTCCTACCAAAGTAAAAGACAAGTTCTACCGAACGATTGTTAGACCAACAATAATATTGTGGAAGTAAAGATCGGGCCTCTAAATTCCAACATATCCACAAGATGTATGTTTGCAGAAATGCAAATGTTAAGATGGATATATAATATTAGATAAGATTAAGAATGATCATGCCAAAGGTGCAAGTAACACACTTAGTTGATAAAATAAGAAAATGTCACTTGAGATTGTTCAGTGCAGTGTTTTTACAATGGGAAAAACGAATTTAAAAAAAAACAAGGTCTTTGGGACTTGAAGTAAAAGGCGCTTCTTTGAAGTAAGCGTGAAACTATAAAAAAATAAAAATACCAATAATATGTAAATTTAGTACTATTATAATCAAAATCACAATTACAATAACTAATATTCAACATCTAATACATAATAATGCTGATATTAAGCATGTGGCTTCAACTACGAAGCAATAACCCTTTGGTGGGTACAATTTTTTGTTTGTGTTCAATATGTGTGATCTAGGGGCTTTGACATGCTCTTGTATGCGAGTGTATACAGATGGGAGGTTCACAATTGCGGACAGAATTCAATCAAGTTGGGAGTTTCACACAAGCAGATAGAGGCTCTGCGTGGATTCCTGGTCGACCAGAGAATTCACCAGGAATACAGTTTCCAGGACCACCACTGATCCCTGGCCAGATGGGTGCCAGCAATCAGCCTCCTAGACCCCCAGCAGTAATATCCACAGCTTTATTTTTCACTTGGTTAGGTTTAAAACTGATCATTAGTCTTACCGTCAATTTGAGACTCAAAAGGTTTATTATGTCTATGTGCAGCTGAGTCCAGAGATGGAGAACGCGCTTCTTCAGCAAGTAAGGAGCCTGACGCCAGAACAGATTAACATGCTACCTCCAGAGCAAAGAAATCAAGTGCTTCAGTTGCAGCAAGTGCTCCGTCAATGAGAAACAAGTTGTCAAAAAACATCTTGCAACGGAGGTGGAAATATTGGATCCAGCTAATTGACTATGTTATTTATCCAAACCTTTGCTTTGTGATAGGATTCTCCTAAGTTTCTGTTTCAATCCTTTATAGTTTCTCTTTTTTACCCGTTGTTTTCCCCTTTAATATTGATTGTTTCAGGCCATTTTAGGTTTGCCTGTATTGTATTCTATGTAGCCTACAACTTATAAATTTTTGCTTGCTTGTTTGAGGAACTCTTAGCTGCGCAAATCGAATTCTAGTTCTCTATATTTTGTCTTATGCCATCCCTCTCCTCTTCTTGTGCTTGTCATTGTAGTATATCTATTACCACTAAGCATGGAACTCTGTTGGCTTGGCCTGAGCCAGCCCAAACATGAGACTGTTAAAGTATATTAAGCCCAGTCATGTCTGCTAAATCGTTTAGAACATTTGAATATGCAAATGCTTCTTATTAAGATTTTGCTCAATCTCGTGGCTTGAACATTGTTATAATTCGTAGTTGATTATGATGATTATAATTCATGCTATCAATTACTACAGATTCTTTTTACTGAGTTTTCATCTACCCAATGTTCCAATCGAGCCATAACATGTGCGTAATAGAAAGTGTTTCCGAGTTCAGATCTCATAGCAACTGCTCATGTAAATTGACTATTTATTTCCAGGTAATTATGTGAAAATAAGTTACCTCATTGCAAAGCTAAAACTTAACTGGAATAGATGCGGCCCCATGTCCAATTAATTTTCACTAACAATGAGTAAGTACTAAGTTCTTCGATTAATAGTTTACAAGATTTTTGAAATAAAAATAAAATTTTAAGGCTCGTCACTTGCATTTTTTGGCCAGTTCAACGGATGAGTGGCCGTATCCGACACCTTCTAGCTCAATTTTTTTTAATTATAAATATTGAATCTTAATATACAAACTTAGAAGAGCAAAAACAAGTGCAACTATCAGAACCTGCAGTGCCTTAATTTTAGCTGCTTTAGCAATAATAGTAGTGACTAGTGGACTAGTGATGCTAACGGGCAAATGCATGAATATATTATAACCTGAGAATTATCCTCTCCTTCCCCCTATTTTTCAAGTGTTTTATTATGAAACACTGTGCTAAGGATACTTGAATTTGCCCCATATAGCATGATCCCTTTACTTTGCTACCTATCCCAACTTTTTTCCAACTAATTACCAACTGGATTACCATGTGCATAAGGGGGGGGGGGGAAGGATGTGAGGCATAAATCTACTTCAAGAACACAAGATTATCTAATTTGTTAAGTGTATGTAGGACCCCAAACAGTTCCTTTTCTCCCTCCTTGTTCATGCATACTCCAACAAAACAAGGCAAAATTTTGGTCAAAAGAGAGTCAAACTGAAAAAGATATTGATGTTTGAGTGGGAAGAACAAACAAATTAAAAGTATCTATGAAGTTTCATTAACTCTTATAATTTAGAGAAATATTTTGGAGAATCCCCACACATTGGTTTGCCCCATCCCCCTATGGCCTACCCCCTTAAACTTGTCCAATCCAATGCATCTGCCCAAAAAACATTTCCATTTCAGCATACATCCCTTTCCTAATAAAGAAAAAAGAGAAGGGACTTTAAAGTTTTTTTTAATAGATAAAAATTAGTTTCTTAGTTTTATCACATAATCATTCAGTTGATGAATTGGCAACATCCATTAGATTTTATGTACCCAATCATATTTTTAGAGGTGGTTTTGCCGACGTGGGTCACTCAAAAATTGAGTTGTTTCTTGAATTCACACTCTATTTTATCAAGAGACTTTTGGTCTTATATATATATATATGGCCTACTTGGGGTCATTTTTGATGTTCCTATCCATTTTTGTAAGTGTTCCTTAATTATACCTACAAGAGGATCTTTCAACAACTTGCAACTCACTATCTTTGTAGCTAATGGCCCTAAAAAAAAGTCAGTCTAGTGCACTAAGCTCCCGCTATGCACGGGGTCCGGAAAAGGGCCGGACCACAAGAGTTTATCGTACGTAGCCTTACCCTGCATTTCTACAAGAGATTGTTTTCACGGCTCGAACCCGTAACCTCTTGGTCACATGGCAGCAACTTTACCAGTTACGCCAAGACTCCCCTTCAAATTGGTAGGGCTAATGGCCCTACCAATTTCAAAATATTATTTGACGTGTAGAGTTTAATTATTTAGATATTTAGTTAAAACACCATTAGATCCTTTTTGTGAAAGTATTTCAACATTCAATTTAAGTTTTAAAGGCAATAACACTAAGCAGTAAATTAACCAAGACATCATGTAACTCATTTGGAAGACTTTTAACATAATCTATGCGGGACAATTATATAAGTTAGCACCATCAAGCACGCGTAAACATTTTTTAACTTAAAAATGGAATTTAATAAAAATTTACGAGTTTGAGAATAAGCTTTGTTAAAAGTAGGCACTCATATATTAAGAAAATCTAAGTATTAAATCCAAAATTTTAATTTTAAAGTAATTGGTCGAATAACTTGAGACCCTTATAAGCTTATTGGAAAACGCTATTGTAAAAGAGGATTGCATATTACAACCCACTTACACATGTAATTAGATTTTTGAATTCACCGTTTAGTTTAAAGAATATGAATATCCAACTCAGTAATTCAATGAAATTACTGAAGTAACCTAAGATTTTTATAATAAGTTTACTAGATAACTCAATCTAATCCATGCTATTTAATTCATATATCACATACATACCTGCGCGTATAATATGCTGATGAAATTGTCATAGCTTTCTTTATACAATTTTTTTTTTTCTTCCTTCAATTGTTATACTAATTAGTATTCCTTAATTTCTGAACTTTTTAACATAAAAAGAAAGTTTAACTAAGGTAAAAGGATATCGTTAAGTGGTCGTTGCAAATTACATACGAAAAGAAATGACTATATATTCCCTTCTTTTCAAAGTCTCACTAGATTTATTAGACTATATAGGGCAAAAATAAAAAAACAAAAAAACTCTTCTTATGCATTTTTAAGTTGCATATTTCAGTCAAAATCAGTGTTAGAAAGATCATTAAGCAATAAATCTTTCTTTTTTAATTATTGCAACCTGCGAGGGAGCAAGATCATATGGAGCAGTAGTTTTGGTTTAAAGAATCCTTACATTCAGAGTCTCGAAGTCAAAAGGAAGTTTTGGCTTTTATGAATTATCATTAGCTAGGTTGAAACATTAAGATGCAATACAAATGTCTACTCCAATTAGCGTCCAATTAATTAAGTCATTACACATTTAATCATTTGCTTTTGAAAACTGCAAACATTACACATCATTAATTCCCAGTAAAAAAAAATTATATTAGACATACTACATCGATAAATTTTTACAAATAAGTAAATACAAATAAATTAGCACATATGGCCTAGTGATTAATAAAGTGTGTGAAAACTATGAATGATTGGGGTCAAATTCAGCATAGACTAAAATATGTTAGTGATTTCTTTCATTGCAATTTGGCAGGCAAAGTTACTACTATGCTCGTGGGAGATAATAGGTACCCCGAGAAATAATTAAAATGCATGCAAGTTGGCTCCGGCACCGCATGAATTTTAAATATACGAGAAAGGGGTCAACCCATGTTTATNTATATATATATATATATATATATATATATATATATATATATATATATATATATATATATATATATATATATACCCCTCCCATTAATGGAGCAAAAAGGTACCTCGCAAATGTAGCAAATTTGACCCTTTTCTGTATTATATTTTTTTTAGGTAAGTTAAGTACTTGTTCTTTCAACTTTCTTTTGTTCTACTTTTTTTTCTTGTGCAGTATAACATACCTTTAAGCAAACATGAAAATCACCCGCGTTCTTTTGAGTAATTTTCATGGGTGGTCATTCAACTTTGTGTTTATTACGCAAAAGTTATTTTTTTTTTTTTGTTACGTAAAAATCATTCAATTTTGTGTTCATTACTCAAAAGTCATTTTTCTTTTTTATGTTACACAAAAAGTTTTATTTTACTCTATTTATCACAAAAACCACATTGGCCAGATTTTATAATACTTTTACTTGAAAAGTATATTATGCCCTTGACATTATAAATCCTCTCATTTATGTAATACCTTCTATATTATATACTATATATAAAATATAATTTTATCTAGATATTTTACTTATAATTAAAATAACTTTATATTATTTTAATTATTATTTTTATAGTATATGCATACATTTAATTTTTCCATGGCACTCAATTTGTTTAATCATACTCAAACATGAACATATTTTATATATAAAAACAATAAAAATATTTATTTTCTAATATTTATTTGAAATAATAAAAATAGGTTTGTTTAACAAATGTAGTTTTTTTATAGTTAATAAGAATTTTAGAAAAAGTTTCAAAGATATTTGTGTATAATATTAAGTTTTTTAAAACTTTGTGTATTGACATTATTTATTTGAAAGTATTAATCTGATGTGCCATTGGCTAAATGTAAGTATTTTATTTATTGGATTAATGGGTATGACTTGGCTGATAAATGAATGAAGTTTAATTTTATAATTTTCATTAAAAGTATTTCATTAATCATGGTTAAGAACGTGGGCTTGAGATTTATTCACGGTAATGTTATCGACAAATTTAATAATGATACTTATATATCTTGAAAATTAATGTTAAGAAAAAATTAAATGTACGAATATGTTATAAAAATAATAAATAAAATAATATTAAGTCATTTTAATTATAAGTAAATACCTGTGTAAAAATATATTATATAGCATATAGTATAGAAGGTGTTGCATTAATGAGAGGATTTATAATGTCAAGGGCATAATAGACTTTTCAGATGAAAGGTTTGTAAAATCTGGTCAAAATAACTATTGTGATAACTAGAGCATAGTAAAATAATTTTTGTGTAAAAAAAAGAAAGAAAAGTGACTTTTGGGTAATGAACACAAAATTGAATGACTTTTACGTAACAAAAGAAAGAAAAGTGACTTTTGAGTAATGAATACAAAGTTGAATGATCACCCATGAAATTTACTCTGTTCTTTTATACTCCATCTATCTCAGTTTATGTGATACTCTTTGTTTTTCGATATTCAAATTATGTGAACTTTGATTTCTAAAATGTATTTTTTTCATCATATTGAAATTCGAAGAATTGCAACTTGTAGTACATTTTGTATTGTTTTAAGTATCTACATTTTAATTTTAAAATATTAAATTGATCTAATCCAATTTAGCTGCAAAGATTAGT